TATATTTGTATTTCTAACATTAGCAAAACTGCTTCTATCTCATTCTTTATGTGTGTATGTTGCTTTATGTTTGTAGCTACTCAACAGAAAGTAATTCAAGTCTGGTTGTGTTTGGGATTATTAAAAGTGCATACTACATGATTTTATTAGATATAAAAAATATGAAATTATTTTAAGTCAAACCCAACTTGTCATATATCGTTTCTCATCTGATCTTATCCACCTTTTCTAGTAAGTGCGGGTACAGCCGTTTGTACATTTAATGTGTCTGGCTTCCGGTCTCTTCCAGCTATTTTTATCTGTACATAACAGCTTGTTTTGCTGCTTTGCAAACTGGTGTCTCTTGCCATGTTATTTTAATGTATTATCTTAAATGAACGCATTTTGGTTTGTAGTGCAAACAGTTTTACCATGCATTTACTGGGTCACTCCTGGGATTCTGAGTTTTTAAAGTGGTCTTTACCAAATTGAATTGTTCAAAGCTTTTCACAATACTTTGGTATGCCTGTTATGATGAATAAAAATAATTATTGCATTTTATTTTTTTAACATAAAGTAATGTCTTATATCTTAAACCAAGCATTTCGTCATGTCCCTGAGGCACTTCATTGAATTAGTACTTTGAAAATTATTAACAAAATGTGCATAGTGTCTGTGATTCTTGGCAATAATATAAGCATTTATTTGTGTTCCTTTCCTGTGAAAAATACTTTTCTAAAAAATAAAAAATAAAAAAGCAAGACATTTTATAAAAAAACAAACAAAACAAAAAAAACAACAGACTTTAAAGTTATGTCCCTTAGTCTGAACTCAATCCTGTCACACTAACTATTCTGTGCCCGTAATAATTTAGACTCATATGTGACATAATTTACCAGAAATGGCATCATTCAGCTTTCTTTAATAGTGGCACAGAAAATGGTTAGTAGTATCATACTTTTTATTCATATTTTTGAGGCATGTTATAGTCAGGGAGGGTACTGTCAAGCTTAACAACTCAACCCCATCACATAAAATTAAGATGGAAAATCATTATTTTTCAACATTTTATTTAATACATAAATATATGCAATGTACTTATTTTATTGCTGCCATATATGGTCTACTCTTCTACACTACATGAGGAGCAGTGGCCATTTTGAGTGAAAAACCACAACCCCGTTACAAATATATATGTATTTCTCATTGTTACGGGGTTGTTAACTTGTGACAGGGTTGAGTTATTTATTTATTTTTTTAATATTTATCATTTTAATAACATAATATATAAAATAGTCATGGTTTTAGTAAATATATACTTACCAAAATCATGACAACTCATATTTTTGTTATAAATAGAATGTTTGATGAAATATGTCCACTTAAACTTCGTAAGCATCATACATCAGAAATTGCACCCACATTTACAGCAGAAAGGCAATGTTGGCCATGCAGATATGTTGACCCAGAAACAAGGGGACAATATGAAAGAGAAACATAGATAATTTATTTGTCCTCAGAGAGGAAATTCATTTTCACAGAGGGTGCGTATGTGATACAAAAACAGCAGCACATTACATATAAACTTGTCACAGTACAATGAAAAACAATCACATCAAAAAATAAATAAATACATAAATAATAAAATAAAATAAATAAACAACAAATGCAAGAGTGTAATATGATAGATGATTTCTTATGTCAAGTCAATTCACCTTTATTTATACAGTCTTTTAACACTACAGATTGTGTCAAAGCAGCTATACAGTATTAAATAGGAAAATAGTGTGTCAATAATGCAAAATGATAATAGTAAACACTCAATTTTCAGTTAAAGGCCATTCATTATTGAATTCA